GGAAAGAAAACCACACAAACAGACCCAAAAAGGATGGAATCCAGGGCAACACTGGGATTCCTTCTACATGGCAGAAACTGCTGCTAGTGGTCATTGGGTCCCACCACTGGGTCGAGATAGCTCCAGTCATTTGTTTTATCCTTGTTTCACTCCATTCTCTAGCCCCCAAGACAAAGAGTCCAGCTGGATCACCACAGGTCACAAGCTCAACCTTGAGATATCGACAGTCTCACTAAGACAGCATTCAATAGCAGAGAAATCGTTCTCTGAAATCAAATGTGAGTACTCCTGTCGGAGTAAAAAAAAGAATGGATGCTGAGCAAGAGATGTTACACTAACAGATAATCATCATGACCTGGAACATTTTTCTGACTGAAGAAGATGACAAACTACTAGAATCCACCAACAAGAAAAAGGACCTAAAAGCTCTTTTGAAAATTTTAATATAATTTTTTAAATTTGCTGAGACAATCATTCATCTTTGGGGTGAGACGATGACCAGCTGACCTGTAGAATGACGCTTTCTGACCCTGTTTCTGAGATCTTTGAAGCCTTTTCCAGTTACTTCTGCTTGCGTGTAACCCAGCTGAACTAGTCGCCTTTCTTTTCTCTGCATCGGGCTGGACTTAACCGTTCCCCTTCCATTAACCTCTTAGTTCATCTGCTTCTCGTGTCTGTCATCAGCTGCAGGAGGTGCTGATTATGCTGGGAGCCTCTGGTAAAGGGGACGAGACAGAGAAGCACCAGGAGATAAGGGGACCAACAAAAAAAAGATTAAAAAGCTCTCAGCACTGAGTACAGTCCGGACAGAGGACTGCCACGAACCTCCGCGTTTGTTGGCTTTGGACGGGGGAGGAGGAATCAGTTTAGATAACTCAGGGATGGGCTTTGAACCTTTGCCCAGACCTCAGAATGAACCACTGAAAAAACCTCTGCGTTTTCCCAAATTAAGACATCGAGAAAAACATTGAAACTGAGTTTCCCTTTCTCTCCCATCTCCGAATCCCGAGGGGATACTTGGGACCACAAGGCAATTTATTCATAATAACGGATTAGATTTTTCAGTACAAATTCCCCTCTGGCCATTTTGATGTGTCAGAAATGCCTTACAAATGTTAAGTACTGCAATTAATCTCCTGAAAAGGGGAGGAAGAAGAGGTTTGCCAGTTGTAGATTTTGGCGATTTCATTTGGTTAAGAGTTTGTTATTATTTTCTGCTTTAGGATGTGTTTCCCCAGAAAGTCAGTCAGTCATCAAATATTAACTGAGTGACCGTTATTTGCCAGGCACTGAACTTGACACTGAGAATACAGAGTGAGGCATGTAAACCATATTGCTGCTCTCCTAAAGCTTCTAGAGAAGTTCAAACACCAGCCTAAATTAATATGTAAATGGACCTTCTGCTTAAGTTCTTCTTCTTAAACGTCTAGCCACCAAATATAACACAGAACCCTTTTTCCCCTCCATATTTGTGATCCAATAGGCTTGGCAGTGCAGTGAGGGGAATTATAAAATCTGAATAGTTATTTTTTGCATTTAACTCATTTAGGGCCCAGTTCTTTTCCTTCAATACCAGGAACTATTGTTATTTTTGCTATTACCGCTATAAGAATTAATGCGAGTTTAATGAGGTGACACTTTCGACTTTTCACCCTCGTTTGACTTGAGAACCAGCAAACCGACCGTATCCATCCTGACCTGCCTTCGCGGGGCTAAAATAGTTATGAATGATATCTGAAGGAGCGTGGAAACGTGCCAGACCCCGGATGATGGCTTTTGGCAGGCGGTGCTTACACCTCTCATTTCCTAGTCCACATGTTGGATGCAAACAAGTTTCTGTTGTTCGGATTACATCCAACTACTCACATTCTTCCGGACTCTGCTCAGACGCTATTCCTATCACTACCTATCTCATCTCATTCGAAAGAGGAAATGTCTCTATAAACTGCTACCAAATGGGAGGAAGCTTGCATTCCTCCCTTGAGAAACTATTTTCTGTTACCTTATTTATATTCGTGGGAAATGATGCCTTGTGGCAATAGAGGGCTTTTTAGAGGTGACCGAATCAATCGCTGCGTCTGTGAGGGATTACAGGTAGGTCATTCCAGAAAGTTCTGTTCAAAAAAAAAAAAAAAAAAATTCTACAAGCTTCTAGAACTCTGTCCTAGTTGGTGTTTTGTGTTCCTCATTCAGATCGTACCTGCCCCAAATGTCAAAGACGAAGCCACCATTTGATTTGGTTGAATTGTCTAAATTTTTTTTAAGGCATATTCATTGGCTTTATTATCAATTCCGTTCCCTAATGTAATCGATCACCAGCTGTTTTATTCACTGTGCTATGGTGCCAGGATAGAGAGAATCTTCCTCGTCCTCTAAGAACTTAGAGCCTGGTGGAAATAAAGAAATATGAGCAAATCCATCAGAATACCATATAATGCAGCAGTATAAATATGCACAGTCGATAGTGGTGATGCAGA